CGGAGCGGGAGGGCGCCGGGACCCCGTGAAGGCGGGGAGAGCCTTCGGGTTCGCTCTTGCACTCGGGGAGTGAAACTGGGAGGATGACGCACAACTTCTCCGCCCCAGTGTTTGTGTTCCAGTCTCGGGGTGCTCGGCGCCGGGGGCCGGTTGCTGGAAGTTGGAGCTGTCCTCCCGCAGAACCGGCACGGGGAGCAGGAGAGTACGAAGTTTATGCCTTAAAATACTTGAAGTCTGGCTTTTTGATATGCTTCCTCGGTAAATGTAAGAGTTTTCAAAATGTAAACCTGAAGCAGTGGAACGTTTCTGTTTAAACTTTGCAACTCCTCGGATGAGGAGATTGAATTTATAGTTTAATGCACTGTTGAGATTTTTTTCAAATGAGGCAAATAAATTCTTTCTATATTGTGCTGTGTGTGTTGTGTGTTTTTTTAATTTAGTTCTTTTTTAGTTTGGGGGTTCAAATTCTGATAGTGTGGTGGGGTTTTTCAAGAAAATTTAATTTGGATAGCTAGTGGAATTGCTTGGTATTTTAAATACCCCGAAGTCTGGGTGGAAAAGAAGATAATTGTATTTTTAAAATTTTAATTTCATGAGGTACAACAGTTGTAAACTTTAGTACTTCAACTGTTCTGGTTTTGATTTGTGCAAACTGTAGGTCTGAATGTAATGGAATCACAAACAATTTTCTGTGGTTTAATTCTTGATGCTTAATTGAAAAAGGCAGTTCTCTACTAAGGATAAGGCACCTATAAGAACAACTTTAAGAACCAGCAGAACCCGATCTCGCCCCTCGGTGGGAGTCCGATGCTTCTGTAATTCACAAGTGACCTGATGAGCGCGCCTGGGTTTGCTCTGCTGCCGCTGGAGCCACAGCCTTATCTGTCATCTCATCCGCGGTGCTGCCGCTGAGCGAGAAGCTTTTGTGTTGGCTCTTAAATGCAGGCGGCACTCGAATATTGGCTCTTTGAGATTCCTTTTATTGATATAAGAGCAAAATAAACTCAGGACTTTATTAAGTGCCAGCTCTTAGATGATGGAAATCTTACGGTGCTATTTCAAATCTTGACTTAAGGAGAAACAATCATAACATTCTAATTGTACTGTAATAACTTTCATTTTTTAAGACATTCAGCTACCGAAACCGGTTTGGCTCAGTGGATAGAGCGTCGGCTTGCGGACTGAAGGGTCCCAGGTTCGATTCCGGTCAAGGGCATGTGCATGGCCCCAGTAGGGAGTGTGCAGGAGGCGGATGATCAATGTTTGTCTCTCATTGATGTTTCTAACTCTCTATCCCTCTTCCTTCCTCTCATTCTAATTGTAAAATCATAACTTTCATTTTTTAAAAAGACATTCAGCTAATCTTACCTAACAGGTCATTGTCTTTCCCGCTACACTGTAACATTTTATAAGAGGATCAGCAGTTGTTAATCTTTACCTCATATTATAGATTCCGTCAATAACTTCCCGAACTTCAATTGATCAATAGATAGGAAACTGTTGTACAGATAAAGTATAGTTTCTCCTCAGCTTTTAAAATAAATTTCATTCAAAATTCTATTGCCCACATAGTAGGGACATTTTTGAATTGTTGGATATAAAGGTACTTCCATGTTATTCTTATTTGCTGAGTTACAAAATATTTCCACTGCCAGCATGTTTTTAGTACCATAGTTCTATTTCTGCTTTAATCCCCAATCTTAAAAATGTATCAGCCTTTCACTTTTACATTACACACCGGTGAAGATTACATACTGAACATTTTTACCGATGATAGTTTGCTATAAGAGGAATTTGCCTTATCAAAGGTATAGCTTCCAATCTTGGTATTTTCAATATTTATTTGGCACAATGAACTTTTTTCCGTTAAAGACCAATCATTTAAGTAATTTGTATCAGTAAGACACCACTAATATGAAAGAATACGGCGGTATTGAGGGCGGTATTTTGGGTGCCCTCAACAAGTATGAAAGGAAAGCTGGGTTACAGTAATGACGTTTCAATGTCATCCTCAATTATTGGAAATACAGATGTTATTGTATATGGGACTCCTGGAGAACAGTCTTGGGGAACATAGTTTTGCTTCAGTGCCCCAAAATGAGAGTTCCTGATTGTTAATCTTATATATAAAAACGTTACAAGCTTTTAAAGAAAATTTCCTTTTGGCAGGTAGGCAGGAGTGACCAGAAATGCACTCAGGACATACTGGTTTTGTGGAGTAGCCCCCAAAAATTCTTACCACAGGGACCTGACAGCAGGGTTGAGCTCCTCAGTGTATGGGAACAAGGGACCAAGAAAGCTGTGAGGTTTTTTCATAACTACATTCTCTTCGCCAATGGTACATTACACCCCACTCCTTCCATAGTGACGAAACGTGACAAAGGAGGTACTGTTTCACTTCCCCCACTGAATATTCCTCTAATATCTTCAATAAAAGTTAAATAGGACAATTGTCTTCCAAAGTGAGTTAGGACAGACTTGATCTGGGTGGCCGAAATGGTTGAGCGTCATCCCCTGCACCGAAAGGTTGCAGGTTCAGTCCTGGTCGGCACGTGCCCAGATTGTGGACTCAGTCCCAAGTGGGAGGCAGACAATGGATGTTTTGTACATCAATGTTTCTTCCTCTCTAAAATCAAAAACATTTTTAAAAAAATGAGGACAGATTGGTAATCCATATCTATTGTCATAAAATCTAAAAAGCCATAGGTGCCATTAATATGTAGATAATTATGGCAAAAATACTAAACTTGTTTGATTAATGCAGCTCATTAAGTGTTCTTTTATAGATTATTACTATTAGGCTGTATGGGAAAAAATAATTGTATGGTTAGGTCACTGCCCCAAAGGAATACACAGAAAAGGTGTAACATGAAGTGTAAGAATCAAAATGAGCGGATAAGAAAAACTGACCTGCTTCACCTTTAAGACCTGGCAGAAAAAAAGTAGGTGAAAGCTGAGGGGAGAGAAGTATGGGGCACTTAGATCATGTAGCTTAGAAAGGTGTCTCGGTTATGTTTGTAACCTCCAGTCGTCATTCTAAAAGTGGAATTGACATCTTGGAGATGAGCAATACCATTGTAATTGTTAGTGGTACTCCGGGTGGCTTACATTTTAAATATGTCAGATATGCTATAAGAGGAATGCTGGGGTGTTAACTGCGTTTGTTTAACACAAGTACTACTAGTCCCCACAAGGAATATAGTGTGCTTTCATATCTCAAGTTGAGAGTTGTTTTATTTTGGTTAATTTTTCATTTTTAGTTACGTTCAAAGTGGTATGAAAAGCATAATTTAGATCATATCATTGTATTGGTTACTCAACCAGGGAGCAGTTGAGAAATTTTTCATTTATAACAGAAAATAGCATTACAAATGTATGATCTAAATCGCCAATGTCCATGGACATGTTTTAGTTCCTAATTTACTTGACTTTTCTGTGACATTTGACACTGGCCTTCTGAGAAACTATGACCTCCATGATAAAACACTCTTAATTATATTATAATGGAACTAATGGAATTTGAAACCTGACTAAAAGCAAAAGATGCATTTTCAGAAAGTGTTGTTTGAGGTTGGAGAAGGAAAAAGAGGAACATATCCTTTAAAATCAATACAAGACATAACTTAGTTTTGTAGTTTTAACGCAATTAAAAGACAAAATTTGTACTGCTGGGTATCAGTGGTGCAGCTTAAATGATCTTAACTGACAACTTGAGAGCCAGGAATCTGTATAGGAACACATTAAATCACTGCAGGGTGCAATTAACAAAATTTACACTGGAAAATTCCATAGAACAAATGACCTGGTCTTTTTTTTTAATTTTTATTGATTTCAGAGGAAGGGAGAGGGAGAGAAAGATAGAAACATCAATGATGACAGAGAATCATTGATCAGCTGCCTCCTGCACACCCCTACCAGGGATCAAGCCTGCAACCAGAGCATGTGCCCTTGACATCAAACCCTTCAGTCTGCAGGCTGACACGCTGTTCACTAAGCCAAACCAGCCATGGCTGACCTGATCTTAAAAATGCAAGGAAAAAAGAAAGAACCTATAGATTAAAATAATTGTTTTTGAAATCACACTTTCAGTAGTAATTCATTGTGGCTCTCATTTATGTTGAACAACATGAGTGAATTACGGGGTCCACTTTTACACAGATTTTGTTTTCAATATACAGTCAACCCTCTGTATTCCCAGGTTTCCATCCATGGGTTCAACCAACTGTGGATGAAGATAGTATTTTCTGTCCATTGAGAATTCTCAGATGGGAGAGCAGACTATGCATTGATCTTCACCATTTTTATATAGGGAACTTGAACATCCACAATTTTGGTATCCGGACACTGAGGGACAACTGCAGTTAAATTTGGGGGGAGTCAAAAGTTACACATGAGTTTTGCATGTTGCGGGGGGAGGGTCAGAACCCCTAACCCCCGTGTTCAGAGGTTAACTGTATATACAACGTAGGAAATACATAATTATTAACATCACATTAAAACCAAGAAGATTCTTGCCCATCCAGCGTGGTTCAGTGGTTGAACATCAACCTATGAACCAGGAAGTCACAGTTCCATTCCTGGTAAGTGTACATGCCTGGGTTGGGGGCTTGAGTCCTCAGTGTGGGGCGTGCAGAAAGCAGCCAATCAATGATTCTCTCTCATCATTGATGTTTCTATCTCCCTCTCCCTCTCCCTTTCTCTCTGAAATTAATAAAAAATGTAAAATAAAAGGGGGGGGGGGAAAAGCTTTTAATGTTGGCAGAGTTTAAATAAAGGGGGATAATTGATGTATGGCATTACAGTATATTCATTTCAGTTGTACAACTTAATGATTTGATATTTGTATATATTGCTAAATCTCTATAAGTCTAGTCAACATCTGTCACCATAATTACAAAATATTTTTTCTTACGAAAGAAAAAGCTTTTAAGATTGACTCTCTCAGCAACTTCCAAGTATGCAGCACAGTATTATTAGCCATAGTCTTCCTATTGTAACTTAAACCCCCATGACTTATTTATTCTATAACTGGAAGTTTGTACTTTTTGACCCCCTTCACTCATTTTATACCCCTCCCACCCACTCCCATCCAGCTCTGGCAACTACCAGTCTGTTCTCTGTTTCTTTGAACTATGGTATTTTGTTTTAAGGTTCCACATATATGTGAATTGTAAGTTTGTTTTTTTTTTTTCTCTAACTTACTTCACTTAGCCTAATGCCTTCATCCATGTTGTTTTAAATGGCTATATTTAATTCTTTTTTTATGGCTGAATATTCATATATATGTGCATGTGTGTGTGTGTGTGTGTGTGTGTGTGTATGTGTGTGTCACATTTTTTAATGCATTCATTCATGGATAGACAGGTAGTTTCCATATCTTGACTATTGTAAATAGTGCTGCATATGGGGG